TACGCAAGGAGAGAACGTGATGGCGAGATCACACCACGGGTTGGTAACGGTGAAAAATACATTTCGCCTCGCCAAAAAAAAAATGTTTTTAAACTGTGTTACCCACTGTTGTGAAACTGTTTCCATGGGATTTAAACAAACTGACACGAGGTATTAAAAAAAAGGGAAAAAAAACATGCATGACAAAAATTCCATACAAGAATATTGGAAAAAAATTAAGAATATTAGAAAAAAATAAAAAAAATTTGCCCGACTTTGCTTTTACTTTGCCCCCATAATGTTGCACACGACCGTCAAATGTGTCGTGAAATGCACTCAAAACGTCGACCGATTTCGCATTTCATATCCGTCAGTATTATTTTCATTTCCTTGCTGTTCTTGCCAAACAAAACACATTACACACGGGCGAGTCACCGCGCCAAGGTTTTTGTGTGGTTAAGTACACAAATATCCCCACCGCTCTACCTGTTGTGTGTGTGTGTGTGTTCCCAGGTCAGTTTCAGTCCCGGGCTATAAATAAGAACTGCAAAGAACAGCTGTCATCGCTTACGGAGACTCGCTGCTACTCGGGGAGAGTTTTACAGCTAAAGGAAGAATGCACGACACGTACCCACCCCCCTTCTTTTCTGCGGGAGCGAGCCTGCTTCCGTAACTACGTTAAGATTATTTGTCACTCCGCCGAGCTCGATGCGTGCACGCTCATGCGAGCGACCCTGCACGAATGCAACGAAGCGTTCGGTTAGCCACCCTAAACCTTTTTCGACTTGCAATTCCTCGAATGCGCGACAAAAAAAAAACACCTGAAAGATTATTTTGACACCGGAAAAGCCCGGCATTAGTTGGGCACACTCGACGCAAACCGCTAAAAATGCATCGTCTTCCCCCACCGTTTTTCACTTTCCGCAGATCGTCGAACAGAGTAAAAACATACACGTGCGAACGAATTCCGGGGGGGGGGGGGGGGGGGGGGGAGGGGGCGGGAGGCAAATGTTTTCCGACACGATACAAATGGGGGCGAACGGGGCACGCGACGCGCAGAAGTACACGCGCAGGAGGTGTGCGAGTGAGAGCATTTATCGCGGAAGCCATTGTGTAACGTGGGTGGGTGGGCTGGGTCACAAACACCACACGGGGCTGCGGTAAAAAAAAGGTCATCGCGAATAGGGGGGGAGGGGGGGGGCGGCTCCTCGTGCGCCTCCCCTGGAATGCGACAGGGTGCACCAAGAACAGGGGTCGGCAAAAACCTGCGGCTCCTGACCGCTTCCGTGACGCTGTCCACGTGCATTGCGGCTCTTGAAATGTTGAGGGGGGTTTTTTGTTTACCGAATTCGAAAAAAAATGGTTCTTCTTGTTGTTTTGTTTGCCAATCCCCTGACCTAGAGACCGATACGGGCCAACCAACGATACCAGCTCACAAGGGCTGCTGGCTTATTTATTTTATTAAAACACAATGTTCACCCGCAGGTGTTGTGTAACACGTGCGATCCACTCACTTCACTTACGCTCACAAGAGTTTGGCCTTGGTGTCGCTTCAAAAGGGGAAAAGAAATGCGTGGGTGTAATTAAACGATTAAGCGCCATCACCGTCGGCCACGATCATCAAACCACTTGCGGATGAAGGCCTCCCTCCTTCCTGGTCGTGCAATGCTCTCTACCCCGCTCCTGCGCACGAGCCAATTTCATTGCTCCATCTCCGTGGTGGACATTTTCTCGTGCACGTCGTTTCTGAAAAACAACTATTTAGCTCAGTAGGCCTTACCTGTACAGCGCTTTGAGATCCTTGATGAAAAGCGATGATATATAAATGGAATTGTTACTATTATCTGGTAAAATTAAAATAGTTTTTTTTTACTTACATTTCTTAACAGTCCATACAATGTCTGTACTTTGCATTATGTTGCTATAAGTGATTATGTTCCTATTCATGTCACATGGTGTAATTCTAAGCATGCACCTCCCCCCCTCCCCATGCTTGTTCATGTCAATGTTTATTGATGTCGATGTCCAATGTTTCTGATCAACGTGTCGCAGCAGGTAGAATATATCAATTACAAGCTCCCTTTAAGGCACAGCGGGGGGGTGGTGGGGGTCTTGGTTTTCATTGCTAAGTTCAATATTACAAAACCACATCTTTTGGAAAACATTAGTCGGGCAAGGTGAAGTGAATGGTTAATCGGTCAAGACTGCAGCACCTGTACACTCCCAACTACCTGGCGCACAGTGTGCACCCAGAGTTAAGTGGCAATATGCCCCCGTATAGCATGAACAGACTGTTGGGGCAAGTGCTGTTCGCGAACACCTATGAAGGCTGGCACGGCACACGACAAGGGAAGGTTGGCCAGGGTCATGCACGGCTGCCTTTGTCTCGCTAGTGGTGATGTTTAGACACCGACCTAGGGGAGGCCCAGGACCGGCTCAGATAATCAGCGCTGATGTTGCCCGTGACCGGGAACCAAACTCGGGTCGTCGGGTTCATAGCACGGCGGCACTAACCACTTGCGCCACCACTCCCCCCCCCCCCTGCCCGCCCCCCACAAACACACACCCACACTGGCAGATTCCCATGATTGGAGCGAAGCGCACCGACACATCCTGTTAACCGAGCCACCTGACCCCGTGCATGACTTACCCTTTTTTAGGTGGTCGGGGGGGAGGACAGCCACTCTTCAAAAGATTCACGCACGTGGCACTCAGCGGTAGACCACAGCTATGCGCCGGATCGTACAGTGTGACTCGCGCGCATGCTACGCCCCGGCGAGACGGGGAACGGGGCCGGGGAAAACGCGTGACTCAACCGAGCGCGCCGCCAGCGCGCCCGACGCGCACGTTCCCGTCAACGGCGGCGCGAGCGAGAGCGCCGTCCAACGACGCTGAAGGGACGCGCGCAAAAAACGGGGCAAGCGTTTCGCTATAAAAGGCGCGCGGGGGGGGGGGGTCGGCGGGGAGGGGGGTGAATATCTCTGGGACGCGAGATGCGCGGATTTTTCGGTAGCGGCCACGAACGCCGCAGATGTAAACAGCGACGGGTGCATTCGCCATGCAGGAGAGCGCGAGACACCCGAGTACTGCTACTGCTGCACGAGTATTTTTAACACAATGCCTCAACCGCTAATTGCGATGTTGTTGAAAAGGAGGGGAGAGGTAAGAAAGAAAAACCAAGAAAAACACCAAAACTGAAACAATCAGGACCGTAAAATGTGCACCGGTTGAGAGTGTTTGTTTGCACGCGGAATGCACAGCAGCTGCTATAATTGTGAACTTAAATGCTAATTTATGCTGCGGGCCGAATAGTTTAAATATCATCGTCGTCGTCGTCGTCAACAACAACAACGACAACGACAACGGACATGATCAATCCACTGCAAAGTCGCAATCCAAACAGCACCTGCACACGAGCCGATCTCATCGCTCCATCGCCGCGGTTGACATCGTCGAAGGAACATTCTAACTTTCGACCGCCACTCCCACCGTTCACCTCGACAACCGGCCATCGTCCCTTCGAAGTGACGTTTCCTGCCCCCAAGGCCCACTTACTTTCCTCAACTCTCAAAGCGAAAACCCTTAAACTCGCGCATTTTATGACCTTGTTGAGTTGTAAATTTAATTCATGAGAGGTTTTTTTTGGGGTCGCGAAATCCTACGTGTTCAACTTGTAAATTTAACCAGGTACGATTAGAGAACCTGATTTGGTTGGGTCAATTACTGTACCTGTCTTCCGGGTCCTATCATTTGAAGGACCTTTCCATATTTCCTGCAGGTGATTGGATATAAATCCTTTTTTTTCTGAAAGACAGCTTTTATTCATCGATTCTCCACCTGGAACTCTGCTCCCGTCTAAAACAGTGAACTCTGTACACGAGCGGCGAGTAACTTACCCGTTGGTGCCGTCAAATCATCATTACCGTTACCATTTAAATTAATCAATATTAGTAAAACGTTCACACATATACCTGTCGTTTTCGCTTGTCCAAGTAAGTTTCCCAGCACATAAATAATGCTGCGCTTTATAAGATCTCTAACCTTGCCGTGCTGAGCCGAAGACCATCAACAGAGCAACGCATCAGTCATTTAAGAACTTGGATGGCTTACAGGGTTACAGGCTCTCAGCCAGCACCCCGCATGTGGCCCAGAAGCTAACATGCAGCCAGCCAACTTGCTCATCTGCCAACTTTCGTGGTAACCTTAATTTGTGTCTGCCCAAAGACAAAGATCCCCCGTATAGCCTTCTCAGGCTGTTGGGATAAGTGCCGTCAGAAATCACCTATGAAGGTCGGAATGGCACACAAGGGGGGTGGGGTGATCAGCACCACGCCCAGCCACCTTACCCATTTGAGGCTGAGTCGACCTAGGGGAGGCCCACGACAGGTTCAGATAATTGTAACTGGTGTTGGCCATGAGCAGGAATACAAACTCGGCTCTCTGGGTTTATAGTGGAGCACGCTAACCAATATATTACTGGTTAGCAAACACACGCCAATGCCATGTTTTTGTAAATACATGCGAGAAATTATTATATTTGTTGCATGTATTATTTACATATAGGTGATGGTAAAAGTTACAGGCGAACTTGAATCTAGGCAAAACCATCGGTGGGAAAGGTGGTTGTTATTAAACTCATCTACTTTTTTATTTTACCAGGCAAGGCCCACGGAGCTAAAAGCTCTTTTTCAGAAGCGACCTGGCCACAAATGATAGCCCAATGAAGTGGCTTATCATGTGGAAATCTATTGCAGCCAAATACTCCAAACACGTCATATTGATTCTAAATGTGGAGGGAAAAACCGGAGGACACGGATACAAATCCACGCGACCACAGTGGGAGAGAGAGAGACACGCAAACTCCAAATATACAACAGGCGTCGGGTTCGGGATCGAACCCACGACCTCCTGTACACCAGGCGAGGCAGTTAACATCTCGCCACCGCGGGTAAGAACCGATGAGGAGGGAGGGAGGGAGGGCGGCCGGCCAGGGGGGAGGGGTTCAGCGGTCGGCCTCTCACCTTGCTGACAGTGCTCGCTTGACCAGCAGCGGCAGGCAAAGTTGCCGTTCTTCAGGGTCTTTTCGCATCGACTGTTGCCGTCGGCGTCCCCCGGGCAGACGTCACCGCACTCCTTGGCCGGCTTGTTCCCCGCGATGTAGTTGTTCTGCTCCGAGTCGAGCACCAGCGACCAGTCCACCGTGTTCAGGTAGCACAGGTCGGCGTTCTTCTCGATGCGCACCGCGCCACGGGTGATGTTCCGCAAGCTCGGCAGGCCGATTTCCTGCGGGCAGCGGGGGCGCGAGAGGTCGAACCGTTTGTTTACAAAAATAAACGGGTTAAATTATTCACATCTGTGGGACCGTTTTTTTGCCAGCATCAAAAAATTATTAAAAATAAGAATAGGTTTCAGCCTTTTTGGCATCAACCGCACATACTTGTAGCAAAGCATGCAAACAATTGGTGATATTATTTGTCGACATGCTTTTTTGGTCAACAATGACGTCAAATCATCGAAAGTGACTGCGACGACGGGGACCCACTGGCGACCCAAGCGTGGCCGGCTACTAACCAGAAGATAAAGTACAAACCCGCGACAGACACCCCCGTTGCCCCCAACTGCTCGGTCCACTCTCCAGAGAGCTGGCTACCTTCACACCTCTTTGACGTGCCCCAAAGCTCCAAAGTTTATTTCACAACTTGACCCAGTAAACATCAACAACCTTTTTGGTCACTTTTGTTTAAATGTTCAACGCGCACACATGCCTGCCTGCTTGACGTTGAATCACCGCGGATGAAGGTGTACCTACATCACGGGGAGCCAATAGACCAAACTTCGCCACGCTGGGCAATATGATTCAGTGATGGAAAGGAGACCGGATCTCATATCTCTTGCAATTGATGTTAGCCCTGGCCGGGAATGGAACGCTCAGTTCGGCGGGCTGACGTGCTAACCACGTAAACTAGTTTAACACGTAGGCTTTCGCGACCAATGTTATTCATAATCAACGTTTTTGGGTTTAGATCGCGTTATTTATAAATGTGTCGTAACCCTCCACCACCCGACACGGCCAATCAGTAAAAAAGTGTCACGTTGACAAAAGACAAATAGTTCACTGCTTTAGCCCACCGGTGTGTTGAAGCCACAACATTTACAATTTGAATACGACGTTTCGCTCGCCTGATATACAGGAGGTCGTGGGTCGATCTCAACCCTGACACATTTATATTTGGAGTTTGCATATTCTCCCCGTGGTTGCGTGGATTTTTATCCGGGTCCCTCTACGTTTAGAAACGTGCGTTTCGAGTATTCGGCTGCAAGAAATTTCCACTTGATAAGCCACTTATTTGAGCTCATCATCTGCCGCCAGGTAGCTTGTGAAAGAGTTATATAGCTCAGTGGGCCTTACCTGGTCAAATAAAAATAGGTTAGTCTTAGTTTCACCAATGCGCCAATGGCTCCACAGCATACGGAAAATGTTGTCCCTGCCTATGGACGGTCAAAAAGCTCTCGCACCAGCAGTAACGCAATGTCAAGCAATGTGCATCAGCCACGTGTGAGAATTTGAGCCAAAAAAAGTGCCAAATATGTTGATATTTTATCGGGTTCAGCAATGAGTATATCGTTACAATAATATTCCAAAAAAAGAAACACCACGCTTGACCCAGACTTAAAGAGCGTGCGGGGCTGATCGGCGCAAGGCTTAGTGAAGTGGGTTACAAGGCGATGGTATATGCCACCCTGTCACATCCTTGGCACCGAGACCTATTAATAGCCGCAAAGCGGTTTAAAGGGAACACAACCCAGAGTTCCTGCCCTACCGCACGAAGCATAACCGCAAGGGACGTTCCCAATTTTATTCTGCTCGTGACCGACGAACGCGCAAGCTCCGCGCCCCACACGAACGAGCCGCACAGAGCACGTGGTGCAAGATCGCCGCTGCTCTCCCGTCGCATGCTGCCCAGCGCGCGGGGGAAGGGGAGGGGACGTGATTCCGAAACAAAAAAGATCGAAAAATATTGGCCTTGCCGATGGGAGCCGCGCGAGTCTTGCAGCGAGGTACGCAGACCAGGGCCAAGCGAGGTGTTGGACCCTGTTGCGATTCTGTCTCATCACAGCACTGTAGCTGGCGTGGCCCGCAGAATGAGGGCGATGTTAATTGCCGCGAGGCAACGGAGCGAAAGAACACATTCCTGCGGAGGGAGCTGGTAGGAACGTTGGGTTGCTCGGTCAATGGCCAGGATCAATAGCGGCGTGGTGTATTCCGCAAATATGGCCGACTGTGAGGGCGGGCACAAGCCGGCGTCAGTAGGTTTAACGTTGAGTTTTATAAGGGCACCACAGGATGACCAGCCCCTCCCCACCCAGCCCCACCACTCCCACCTCCCACCCAGCCCCACCCTCCCCACCCAGCCCCTCCCTAACCAGCCCCTCCCCACCCTCCCCACCTAGCCCCTCCCCACCCTCCCCACCCAGCCCCTCCCCACCTTCCCCACCCAGCCCCTCCCCACCCTCCCCACCCAGCCCCTCCCCACCCTCCCCTCTCCACCCAGCCCCACCCCTCCCATTTTTGGATGCACAACGAACGGACGGACACGATAATCCCCTGTGGGCTGGTGTAACCAGGAGGTTCCTACCAGTAAAAATTATCACGATATTTACTGCTGCGTAGATTTTCGCGGTTGCGCTGTAAAGCCCTCCGATGTGCTTCTTGGGTTTTGTACCGCGTTGTTCGGCGCAATGCCCGATGGTTGGCTAACGGTGAAAGGAGCTTCATCGGGAACTGGGCGTGACGATCAACTGAGACGAGGCCAAACAACATTCGGCAACAACTCTGGGAACACGGGGTCGAACTGTGATTTCGTTTCAGGAATCCTAACTTTTACAGATCCCTATCGCTATCTCTTATTTATTTAGAATTACAAAATGTACGTAATAATTACGAGAGCAATAATTTACAAACTTTTTTTTTATCATTTCACTGCTTTAAAGCCTCCCCATGGCATGTGGGTCAAGGGGCTGTTTGACCATACTTGACGACACGGGTTTGTGGAGGCGGTCGGTGGTGGGACCAAGACAGGTTCAGATATCACGAGGCACCTCCGACGTTTTAACTACGGCTGGGAGCCGAACTCGGGTAAACCAGCTTCGCAGCACATTGTCCGAAAGCATTGCGCCACCGATCCAATTCCAAAAACGCAAAAAGTTATATATAAAAAAAAGAGAAGCGTCTGACAATTTAGCCTACATTGGAAACCAAGTCTCTGGCCACGTATTTACACTCAAACGCAATCTCTCACAATATCACCGTGATGCGCAATGGGATTATTATTCTCATGCCCGCACGCTTCCCACTCGGCAATGTGGCAAATTACCCAGCAAAGCAGGCAACTTGCCACACTCCCTTGGCTTGCCCAACGGCGGCAGTGGAGGCGGCGGCGGCGGCTTTCATGGGTTTTTTTCTCGTGCCGCAAAAAATGTTGGAAAATGAGGCGGGACACGCGTGCGAGCAGCCGAGGTGCATGATATACCGGGCCAGAAAAAAAATCAGAAGCTAGCTGTTATGTTTTCCTTCTGTACGCAAGCTGAATTACACCAGTCGCCTTACGAATTTACTTAAGCGCACAAAACACGCGGCGGAAAAACGCACTGTGTGCACGCTGTTCAATATTTTCTTTTGGCACCAAGTCGCACCAACAGTTGAACTATTGTTGAGCTTGCTTGTAGCTCCCTTGATCTTTATCCACAGAATTGTACCTGCCAAGTCACAACTGGCAAAGTTGCTGGTGGAGGTCAATTGTTTTTTTATTATTATTCTTCAAAATTGTCTACTTGAGAGCCAGATTGCATAAATGAAAATGTTCGCGAAAGCAAATATTTTGACCGGCGGCAGCGAGTAATCGGTTTGGAAGGTCACTTTGTGTTGGGTCTCACATTTAACACAAGTATTTACATTTGGTAAAGCAAAGAAAATGCTGTTCCTGCCAAAAAGGAACAGCTGTTGTGCCACGGATGGTTTACGAGCAGATGTAAACACACTTATAGAAGCAGAAAATGTGTCTTTCCACACTCTCGTTCAACTAAACTTCACACATCGTCCAAACAGGGAGTGGTGGTTGGGGGGGGTGCTGAATATCTACACTCGTTCGGAAATTTTAAGCGAACCCTATTGGTCAAGATTCGGTCCGCCGTGTTACAGCTGCACGCCATCTAACTGGGCATCACGCGCTCACCCCGAACCAGCGACTACACCATGAATCGGCACTTAGACGAATCGGTTTTGAACGAAGTGTTACGTAATCTTCCTCGCGTTCGGTAAAACAATAAAAACAAGAGTGCAACCCGCACTGAATGCACGTGACACTGCTGCCATAAAGGGTCATCCCCCCCACGCCCCTCCCGTTGTCTTTCAAGTGGAGTTGTGCGAAGAAGAAGAAGTGGCACAACATTACGTGGACAGCTCGCGACGGAGGATGGACGTCTAGCAAATTAGGGGTCGCTAACGATGAAACACTTAATACATCGGCCGCACAGGAAAACGGGGGTGGGCGGAGGCCTGTAAACTAGAACTAAACATCATTGGAACCTCCTTTGCCAGTAGCAAAATATGATCATTGGTTTTTTACCCTTTTATCTGGCAACAAAACTGACACCTTTTTTTTGTAAATGCTTACCATCAGAGTATGAGAGCTCGGGGTAAGCATTTACCAAAAAAAGGTGTCAGTTTTGTTGCCAGATAAAAGGGTAAAAAACCAATTATAAAACTAAACATTTCATTATGCCAGGTAAGGCCCACTGAGCTATATAGCTCTTATTCGGAAGCGACCTGGCCACAAATGATAATTCAGCCTAGTGGCTTATCACGTGGAAATGTATAGCAGCCAAATAATAAACACATGTTGATTCTAAATGTGGAGGGGAATACCGGAGGATCCGGATAAGAATCCACACGACCACAGGGAGGAACGAACATGCAAACTCCAAATTTACAGCAGGCGTCAGGGTCGGGATGAAACCCACAAACCACCTGTATACCAGGCGAGGCAGTTAACATCTCGCCACAACGGCATACCTCCAGCCACACCGTCGCTTGGCAACGCGTTACATCATGCCCTAGCAGTAAACTTGCTGTTGTTCTGGCAGTAAAATAGTGGTGTTTTGTATTTTTATGACTCATTTTATTTGGTTGGAATGCTTCTGGGGCCACTAATGGGTATCCAGGACGCTTTCCGGGCAGCCTTCAATTTGTTCCAGTCTCAGGAATGGCTTTGCGTGATACAGTACAGCATTTCTTTGCAAGTGTGTGTAAAAAAAAAGCGAAGAAGAATTATTATTTTTCCCACACTAAAGCATTTTTTTTGGAAATATTTTCATTACATTGTACCTGCCGTGGCTCAAAAGCATCCAAATAAAAACATATAATACGATTGCTTTTACGAAGGAAAGAAAACGTGCAATTGTTGTGCCGTTACTTTGGATACAAGGCAAGTTGATAAAGGCGCTGCTTTACCGATTAAAATTAATGATTACTCTCATGATATGAGCATAGAGTGGTGGCGCTGCGGTAGGCGCACCGTGCCAACGAAGGTAGCGACTTACTAGGCCAGATCAGCAAGATCTGAACCGGTCCTGAGAACCCCCCCCCCCCTATCCCCTACAACCCAAACCCCCTCTCCCCCCAAATTCACCAACTAACAATAACCAAAGTATGGTGAAGTATGAACTAACAAACCCCCGTAATCGATAAGCATAGAGAGGTCTTCATCCAGCAGTAGTTTATTGATGCATTAATCTGCTGGGGCACCACGGTGCCAAGATGCTAACTACCTCGCCTGGTATACAGGAGGTCGTGGGTTCGATCCTGACCCCGACGCCTGCATATTTGGAGTTTGCGTGTCCCTTGTCACCGCGATCGCGGGTCCTCTGGCTTTTCCCTCCACGTTTAGGAGTATTTGGCTGTTATAAATGTCCACGTGATAAGCCACTTCGCTGAGCTATCATTTGCCGCCAGGTTGCTTCTGAACAAGAGCTACATAGCTCAGTGGGCCTTCAATGGCAAATAAAAAAAAATCGTTGTCAGTTGCTTTTTTACATTACTTATTTACCCGCAAATCACCGCTCCTTCTAACAGATCTTAAACAAGACGCAAGCGAACACAAACGTGACGGAGAAAACAAAGAGGGGGGAAAAAAACAATTGAGTCTTGAAACGGATCGTGACCTGGGAGCAAAGGACAATCCATCGCATCACTGGCAGAGTAGCAGAATCCTCACGCGTCAATCGTAAAGAACGTTATTGATTTAAATTCACGTGGAATGTAGTTGCAACCATACCCCCCCCTCCTCCCCCCATCACACCACGGTACACTCCACAGCTCCCCGCCCCGTTTGCTTTACCGTTAAGGCTACGGTGACTGACGGAGGAAAGACATCAGTGCGCACCGGACGAACAAGGTAGCCCCATGCTTTTCTATAAACACTTAAAAAGACAAAACTGGCATACAGGGATCGCCGATAATGCCGATGTTCCACGAACCACACAATTACTTGTTTTTTTATTTAAAGCTTTCGTGACTGCAGGGATTCATATTCTTGGTTATTTCGGTAAAGTCACGTAGAAGGGAAATAATAAAATAATATTAATATAAAAAATAAAATTCTCACGAGGTTTCGACTGCAACACAAGCAATCATCATCAGGTGTGAAATCCACAGCAAGAAAATTTGGGGAGGGGCTAGTCACCCTGTGATTTCACACCTGATGATGATTGCTTGTGTTGCCGTCGAAACGTCGTGAGAATTTTTATTGTTTTATATTTATATTATTTTATTATTTCCCTTCTACGTGACTTTACCGAAAGAACCAAGAATAATGACTTATTTGTTTCAATGCAGTCAGTTTAAATTTTTTGCCAACTGTGGCCTTTAAAAGCAACACCAATTTTAGCAATGTTTATTGCTATTAGTCATTATTAAATGTCATTGTTTGGTGATCTTCTGCCCACTTAAGAGGTCTTCTACCGCTGTCAAGCCTGAGACGGATGCATTAAAGTGTCTCAAAAAGTTGCTATTTAGCACCATGCGGTCGTGGTGGTTATTCAGTAGCACTTACACCAACGTTACAAGGTCCGAGCAGCTTTTTCTGATGCCTCCACCCCTAACTCGGCACGTAAGATTTTGCAAGTACCAAGATGATGAAAACAAGTCAAGTGAACATACTAATACCTGTATTTATTGCCAGACAGGGTAAAAAGCCTTTTCTCACTTCATCAAGAATTCATCGACTAATTATTACATTTCTAACGCGTACAAATTGGAACTTAAAAGGGACAACAAAAAACAATCCCCTCCCGTGCTGGCAATTCCGTGAATTGTCGCAGTTCGGGGTTTCGATTTGAGACAAGAATGGGTTTATCTATGTTTCTGTGCTTTATGGCTGTGATTACAAGTTGCACCTGCATGTTGTTGACGCCATGTCTGACGTTTCGCCCCACATGCCGGGCGCTGGGAACATCTGCAAGTGGAAACGTTGGGACATCTGTGCCGAGCACTGCAGTAAAAATGATTCAAATTTTTTGTTTATCATTTATTCCGTCTCTTTTGTAGTGTTTTAATTTTTGTCTCGGTTGTACCGACAATTTTATTCACTTCAATATAGTCTCTATCCGGCCAAGTGGCACAACAGCATAAGGATACAAGTTTAATTCCCATTTGGCGGTTGATCAACGTGGTAGTTCTTCATCTATCAGTAAAACGATGACCACTTTTTTGGGGAAGTAATATACGCGTGGCGTCATCGGCACGGCTAGACATGCAGTGGAAAAAGAGCAACCCGGCTGGCGCGTGTCCTGAGCCGCTCCCGGGCTGGCTCGGCACAGCCCCGGCGCGGCTCGGATGTATCAGCGGAATAAGAGGTGCTAAGAGGGCACACACGTGGTGAGATGTTAACTACCTCGCCTGGTATACAAAGAAGTCGTTGGTTCGAGCCCGACCCTGACGCCTGCGGTATATTTGGAGTTTGCATGTGGTCACGTAGATTTTTCTCCGAGCCCTCCAATGTGTTCCCCCCACATTTATAGAATCGACGTACGTTTCAGAGTATTTGGCCGCTATAAAATGTCCACGTGATGATAAGCCACTTCCGTCGAGCTATCATTTTGTGGCCAGGTTGCTTCCAAAAAAGAGCTACATAGCTCAGTTGGGGCCTTGCCCTGGCAAAATAAAAAAAATTAACACAGTTGTAGGTGGCCCTTACCTTCATGTCGAGCATCTCGTAGATGACGAGCGCGTAGTTGTAGAAGAGGCGGGTGCCGCGGATGACGGTGAGGTTCGGGAACAGGTGCTTGAGGCTCTCCAGGCCATTGACGCGGAAGAGCACCAGGTACTCGGTGATCATGGTGAGCTTGGGGAAACTGAGGCCGGTGAAGTCCTCCACCTTGGTATTGAAGATGAGCAGGATCTGGAGGTAGCCGTCGATGACCGTGCAGTTCTCCAGCTGCGCCATGGAAGCGATGTCGTTGCGCACATCCGTGCTCAGGCAGACTGCGTCACGACGTCAACAACGAAACGTGAACACACGCCGTCGCCATCATCAGCAGAGCAACGGCATTGGGAGTGTTTAATTCCGAGCAGCAGGGTTTCCACAAAGATCCGAGAGGACGTGAGAGACGGCCGTGCGTGTGGACAGTTGAGAGTAGCGCAAGGTGGGTGAGTGTTGCTTATATTAGAGAAAGAGGAGAATTTGTTCTGACGGCATGTCCTGTACCGATTTATATATAACAAAAAAAAAGCATTACGCTGAAACACACATCCTAGGGCACATTAACATAACTCATTATCTCAACGAGGGTTGAAAGGGTTCAAGAGGAATTTGGAGGCGTAAAGAGGACAGTCTTCGCCACTTTTGTTACCGTAGCCACAATGCACCGACGGCCACATGTTTGGCACAAGCTCCCAGGAACAATAAAATCCACAAAAAATCAACTCAGGGTGGTTCGGCTATAGACTCGGCCTACAGATTGTTTTAATGAGTGAACACACCTTGCTATGACTTGTAATACAAGGCTGACCTTGAATGACCATTATTCCTGCCCAGTTTCAGCATTTGTATATTTACCAAGAGTAAGTTATTGTCCATAGAAAGCCATGCTTATGTGCATTAACCTGCAACTGATGCTGCAAAAAGACAACCCCTCATCTCCAAAAATATGTAAAGTTGTGAAATTAACAAGGAATATAAAACGTTAAAATGACGCAGTGTTATTTTGAATTGTTTTCAACAGAGCAGAAAGTTTTTCCCATCGGATTTCAGATAGCCGACGTTTCGCACCACCTGCTTGCAGCTTCTTCAGGAACTGTAATGGTTAAATTCACCTCCCGAAAAGGTTTCCAGCACGTGGGATGAAACGTCAGGACATCGCGTCAAACAACTTGCGGAAACAACCCGAACAAAGACTTGGTGAGGAGTGGACCCAGAACCGGTTCATATACAATCCTCACCACTGATGTTACCAATGGCCAGGTATCGAACTTAGGTCACCAGTACGCTAATCAGTGCACCACCCCTCTACTTCGCAAAGACTGACACTGCAATGACAAACATTTCGTTACTTTACAAAGACAAAGATCCCCCGTATAGCCTGAACAGACTGTTGGGGCAAGTGATATTAGCGAGCACCTACGAAGGCCAAAACACTTTACAAACACACCCACAAACGCAGACACATTGCACGTGACCAGCTAATTATATTATATTTTACATCCTCCAAACGGGAGAAAAAAAAATTTGTTTAACAAGAATATCAATCCTTTCCTAATGCTGATCACCAAATAACAAGGCTAAGCGAGGCGGCAACGGCACGTCCAAATTGAAACTTAACTGGCCGAAACATCCAGTTTAGCTCAGCTGTGAGCAAGTCAAAAGAAGATGGATATTAATGCCTAAGTACAATAATGCAAGTAAGTGGCATACACAGAGCGCTCCTCTCGAATGTAACACGATATTTGATTTAGAAAAGTAGGTTTAAGAAATTTCCTTTAGCTCTTAGATCTCACCCGACTCACATACACCAAACCACATCAACACTGCACAATGCATGATTGATGCATTACACAAGGGAGAATAAACACACATTGCTGGTACTGTACGTACAAGCAAATGGGTATAAATAAATAAGGTATGGCATGGGACTGCTAATTTTAGCAGCCTTTACATATTTTTGTTATGCCCGTCCCACATGCGTGTTTTGGCCAACGTTTTGCTTTAACGCGAAGGATACACGGTGGGAGGGGAGGGGCCCTCTCATCGATGTATTGGGTGGCTGACAATCGTCGGAATAACCCTGACTCTCACCTAGCCACTGTCCACAAGCTTGAGTCACAGCGGTGTGTAACCCAGACGGGGAAGGGGGGGGGCAAACACACAATGCTGCTGCGGGGAGTTTATTACTACGGGGCTGAGCCAGATTACAGCAAACTACTCAGGGCCCCCCACCCCGCCACCCGCCCCCCTCTTGGCGACAGCGTCTTGAGGCCTTTCCCTGGACGGAGCTCACTTGTGACGTTGGCAGGCGTGACCAAAAAAAAAATGTCTGGCTCGTTGGTCAAAATAAAAAAAAAGAGGCGGGCGAAACATTTGACGGCGGCGAGATGACGGCGCGTATCATGTCGCCATCCTCGCATGGCATGAATGTGTCATTTTAAATCAGCACAATCGTGTTCATACCGGCGGAAAACCCACTTAGGAGAGCGTAGAACATGCATTATACAGTTGGGGGGGTTTTTTTCGTCGTTACTGCAAAGGAAACAAAGTTCGTTCTAAATTGATTCTGAAACATAAACGCAAGCACCTTGGCATTAGGAAGCTCACACTTGAAAGGGTTTTGTACGTGGCCTAGTACAGCCCTTTTGTCAACATACTTATGGATGAGGGCCCTCCCTATCAAATGTGGGTCGCGGGGGTTTATTTGACCATACTTCACCACACTCGCCAGTGCGGGTTAGTACGGGCAGGGAGCATAGATATGGAAGCGTAGAAGTACTATACAACAATGGGGTTTGCTGCACTGGCTTCTGCTGCCCACAATGTAGGCCCGCGGGCCTTTAGAACTGTTAATTTTGTTGTCCTTCTCCGGCACTTCTGATTAGCAAAGTTGGATATTTATGGTGCAAAAGAAATTCAAGATACATAGATACAAGGTGGACACCAATCTGGGCACTATCCAGGCTCAAACCTGCTTGGCTTCCCTAGGTCTGATATCGGGCGAATTGTGCGTGATGTGGTCACAAGCGACCCACAGCGCAGTCGGCATTTATTTATTAAGTGATATTTATTTACTTAAGTTATTTATTTTACACAAACGGCCTTCTTCGAATTGCGGTCACAGTTGTATGCGTTGGATGCACTGCGAGTCTAGGGCATGTCTCTAAAACGCAATTAACCTTTTAGGCACAGTAACCATGGTAAAATATATACACACACCAATTATTGGAATAAATATAAGCTGTAAAAACAATGGCAGATCTTCTGGGGTTAGCTTAAAGTATTTGCTATCCTCCTCCACCAAAGACCACGGAAGGACCTACAACAAAATGATCACCAATTTAAATACAAGCAACATCCTAAGTCAGGCCAATACTAGGCCAAGTAAACAACCAAATTACTATTTTCTCAGAAACTGCTCCGAGCTGAGAGATACTGCCATTAAAAAAAAGAGTTTCGACCATATATCTCTCAGTTTTGTTTTACTTCAGAATTTTTTCTCGCAGAACATTGCAATCCACAAAGGACTGTGTGCCCTAGCCCTTGAAACAGATACAAAAACAAACATTTCCTGTACCTGCAAACCATGCAGAAATCTCCCGTGCACTGGGCTCCAGACAAGTGAAACATTCAGTAAACACACAGACACAAGACAAAGATCTACCGTCCAGGCTTCATAGGCTGTTGCAGCGAGGGCTGTTAGCGAGCATATATTAAAGACCGACACGGCACATGCGGCGGTGATGTGGCCACCTTTGTCTGCCCGGTGTTGAGGCTGAGTCCACCTAGGAGAAGCCCAAAACAGGTTGAAATATCACTCACTACTGCACGAGAATTAAACTTTGTTAGCCAAGTTCGTACTGCAATGGGCTAGGAGCAGCATCACCACTCCCCATACATACACACACACAAAAATAAAAAGACAAATATCCCCCTTCGAGCCTTAACATTATTTTGGGGCAAGTGTTGTTAGAAAGCACCTATGAAGGCTGGTATGGCGCACGAAGGGGTGGGAGCCAACACCGCGCCCAACCACATTGACTCCCTGCTGCTGATGTTTACACGCCGCACTAGGTACTCATTTAAGGCTAAATCGACCTCGAGGAGACCCAGGACCGGCTCAATTATTTGGCCACTGTTGTTGATCGTGAGCGGCAATCGGGGTTCATCGCGCAGTGTGCCAACCACAACACTACCGCTCCCCACACGTGCGGTGCACACGCACGCACGAGAGATTTATGCAACAAAACAAAAGCAGAAAATGACAGCGTTTGGCACACACGATTTTTGCGGACTCGTTGCTCTCAGGACGCTGGGTCGCCGAGGGGCAAAGAAATTTGGGTCTTCTTGGTTCTTTCGGTAAAGTCACGTAGAAGGGAAATAATAAAAATAAAACATAATAAAATAAAATTTTCACGATGTTTCGGCCACAACGACAGCCCTGTTCTTCACCTGAGGACGGCTGCTTGCGTTGTGGCCGAAACGTCGTGAGAATTTTATTTTATGTTTTATTTTGATTATTTTATTATTTCCCTTCTACGTGACTTTACCCGAAAGAACCAAGAAGATGAATCCCTGCAGTCACGAAAGCTTTAAATCGAAATTTAGGTCATCGCTCCCACAAGGTGCATTAGGGTAAGAGCCCAACACACACATGTGCTGAGTGCACTGCTCCCACAGCTCTTGCGCTACAGGGCCTTCCCAGAGGGTGGAGTGCCTTCCAGCTAACAAGCGCAGCTATTCCTCTAAAGCACACCTTCAATTTGCTCTTTTTATTGTTCATTTGCATCTTCTGCCTTGGCGAATATTCTTTTCCTGCTCCTAGCCGGTTACGCGTGTGTTTGTGCGGCGGTTCGCGCACTGCACCAACGCCAGTGACGATTATCTGACCCGGTCCCGGGCCTCCCCTCAAATGAGTATCTGGTGCGGTGTGTAAGAATTGCCACTCAGGAAACAAAGGCGGCCGGGCGTGGTGCTGTTACCCACCCCCTCGTGTGCTGTGCCGGCCTTCATAGGTGCTCACTAACAGCACTTGCCCCGACAGTCTGCTCAGGCTATATGGGGGATCGCTCTCTTTGCGCGCAGAGGGCGCTCCCACATACACATGGTTCGGGCGTAAAAAAGAAAAAAATTACCGTCATCATCATCATCTATTGTCAATCCAACTGCTGGATGAAGTAATCGCCAAGCTACTGCCATCTCTCACGATTCAGGGGGGAAACCGGTTATTATCATCATCATAAGAATGGGTAAAACCCATTTTTATGATGATGATGGTGAT